ATGCTTGGCTTTTTTTTGTCCAATACATTTTTGTTAAATTGTACACATTTCCAAAAATCGGGGTACAATACACATCAACAAAGAAAAGGAAATCAACGATTAAGCAACTTCAAAGTAGGCCTCCTTAGTCAACCAAACATAGAGGAACATTAGATAAACTTAGACAGGAGCGGATGTATAACCATAAACACAGGAGTGAAAAAAAGAGTAAATACAAGAGTACAAACTGGGGGAGAAAACAACACACACAGGACAATACACAGGGAAGAGGGAGGAAAAACGAAGGAATCAATGTCACACTTCACATTCGACTCCTCCAATGTGGTACCATCAGGGGATTAGAGTTGCCCTAGAATAAGCAGGAGGAAAAACGTATCAGCTCAGGGGAACTAAATCGTAGTGTATTTAGACAGTGTCAGTTTGCTGAGCAGTGAGCTTTTCAAAAAACATAGTATGAGACATCAATTTGAAAAACAAACTGAGAGAGGGTGGGAGTCTACCAAGATCTCGGTATTACACGTTTAGCTTCTGTGAAACTTTGCTGGAGCAGTTTAAACTGAGTCTTGGTGAAACCCGGTGGTTTCTGGTTGAGAAGGGCATGGTAGATGCTCTTACTGGCTATAAAGCCAAGGGCCTTGCAGATCTTGCCATACACCTGAGACCAAAAGTGTACCACAACCAGTCAGTTCCTCCACACATAAGCAAACGTCTCTTCAGCAGAACAGCCCCTAAAACATGTAGATGGGTACGTGGGTAAGACCTTAGAGACCCTCTTCCGGAGCAAGTTACCACCTCATGAGCAGCTTATAGTTAGTCTGGAATGTCGCCACCGTATTAGTACTTTTTGAAGTAGAGATCCAAATTTGGGTCCAAACCTCCTCTGTCACTGGTGTTTGGCTTTTTAAAGAGTTGGTTGTGATTACCTCCATAGTCACTACTGTACTGCTCTCTTTGCTGGAGGCTCTGGCTTAACCCTTTCGCTGCCAAGGACATACGGCATACAGAGCTACTAAAGTGATTCCAGCTGGCCAGCTCAGTATGCCGTACGTCCTTGGCATTTACAGTTCTACTATAAGCTGATGGTCGCTTTAGCGACCATCAGCTTATAGTAGAACTGATCAGCAGACTGTCCCCTTTAAATTAATAGCTGTCATCAGCGGCTCACAAGCCGCTGATGACTGCTATTATCAAAAATACCGGG